ATCAAACAATTTATTACATTAGGCTGCAAAAGATCTCTTTAAAGTGTTAAATTGCAAAGATGTCAGTTTGAGGACTAAGGTACACCTGACCCAAGATGCCCATGGTATGTCAATCACCTCATGTGCATGTGAACATCAGACAATGAAGTAGGAAGACAGAAGAATCATGTGAAAGCTGGAAATGAATAAGGAAGACTGTAGAAACATCAGTGCATTTGAATTACGGTGTTGGCAAAGAATTATGAAAGTACTATGAACTTCGAGAAGAACAAACAAGTCTGTGTTAGAAAAACTATAGCTGGAATGCTCCTTGTTGTTGTTAAGTGCCTATGAGTTGGTTCTGAGTCATGGAGACCCTATATAGAGTTTCTGAGGAACAGCTAGTGAGCTTGAACCACCGACCTTGTGGTTCAAACTGACCTTGCAGTCTAGCACGTTAACCCACAGTGACACATTAGGACTCTAAGAATGCTACTTAGAAGCAAGGATGTTGAGACTAAGGCATTTTTTTTTAATGGTATAAAATAACTTATTTACATAATTTGTATCTATAGAACATTATTTCTTTCTTTGAAACAAGAAAATTTACAAATGACAGATATTGCTTTATTGTCAAATACTTCTTCAAGCAAGATACTATATGTGGTCTCTTCTATTTGAAATAACATGGATACCTACAGTGGATATTAATATTCTTATCTGTGCCTCAATCATTTACCAACAATTAGGCTTTAAGCCACCATGTTGAGCACTTGCTAAGACCTGGAGGGACCAGTCCGTGAAGAAAGTCATCATGCTTAGTTAAGTGGTTGTTGTTGTTAAGTGCCGTCGAGTGGGTTCCAACCCATAGCAACCCTGTATAGGATTTCCGAGGAGTAGCTGGTGAGTTTGAACCGCTGCCTTTGCAGTTCAAATGACTTGGCACTCTGGTGCATTAACCCACAGTACCACACCAGTTAAGTGGAGGGACTGTGAAAAAATGGAAGACCTCCAACCAAATTTATTGACACAGTGACTGCAACAATAGGCTCAAAAATACAATTGTGAGGATGATGTAGGACTGGCAGTGTTCTGTTGTGCAGAGGGTCACTATGAGTCAGAACTGAACTCTACAGGATAAGCACTGGACTGCTAACCATAAGGTCAGTGGCTCAAACCCACCAGCAGCTCCTCAGAAACTCTCTCCAGGGTCACTATGGGTCAGAACTGACTTGAGGGCACTTAACAACACCACCACACAGTTGAACCCCTGTACAGCAAGAAAGCTACTATATCTCCATTCTTATTAGTAGAGTTCACACTAAGGATTCCAATAACCATTGACTCTATTGCTGGCTTGATTAATTTCTCCTCAAATTTAGTCATGGTCCCACTGAATATTCTGTAAAGACTAATAATTGTAACGTTAACTACCAACAACTTGCATGTAAAATACAAATGGGAAGGAAAGGAAAAAAGAAAATGGCTAGATAATATAAATGAAGCAAGCAAAAATTACATATATAAAGCTACTGCAGTCCTTATTTCTGTTATTAATCATGAGGCCACAATTAATATTTATGGCTTTCATCTTAAGCTATCCACTCCATGTTTCCCTTGCCCACAGACAGAGCAACTGGATTCTTTACCTGGTGGAATGATACCAATCAGTCTGGCAGGGCCCTGCCTTTTTCTAGTTGATGCAGTTTCCCGTTAACCTTTATGTTGCGCTTGGAAGTACTAAGAGACGCCTCAGGAAATCTTCTCCATTCCAGTCATAGTCCTCCCTGCTTACATTGTGTAGCAGCAACCCAATTTGCTTTTGTAATTAGGATCAAGTAAAACAGCTGGTAGATTACCTCCCTTTTCTAATCAGCTGATTCTGTGGTAGAAACAGTGCCAAATTCCAGGTGGTAGGCGGAATTCTAAGATGAATCCCAAGTTTATGTAGGTGCATACATCCTACATTAATTCCTTTCCTTGACTGTAGTTGTTGTTGTTAAGTGCTGTAGAGTCCGTTCTGATTCATAGCGACTCTGTATAGGGTTTCCCAGGAGCAGCTGGTGAGTTTGAACTGCCGACCTTTTGGTTTAAACCAACCTTGCGGTCCAGTGCTTTATCTTACAGCACCATACCAGGTCCTTGTTGGTATTATAAATACCAGTGGCATAGCTTCTAGCATTACAGAAACACATAAGCCACCACAAAATGACAACGGACAAAGGAGTGGTAGAGAAAGATATTCACTCGTGCTTTATCAACCATGCAAAGGTACTCGACTATATGATTCACAACAACTATGGATAACATTCTGAAAAATGGGCATTCCCAAACACTTATTTCTGCTCATTAGGAACATATACATAGACCCAGAAGCAGTCATTAGAACAGAACAAGGGGATACTAAATGTTTTAAAATCACAAATAGTGTGCGCCAGAGTTGTATCCTTTCATCGTATTTATTCAGTCTGCACGCTAAGCAAATCATCTCAGAAACTGGACTATATGAAGAAGAACATGGCATCAGGATTGGAGGAAGACCTGTCAACAACTTGCAATATACAGATGATACTACTTTGCTTGCTCAAAGTGAAGAGGACTTAAAATACTGATGAAAGTCAAAAGACCACAGTTGCCTTCAGTATGGATTACACTTTAATACAGTTGGAACCTGAGACTATAATTCGCTATTATGTGATGATTATGTTACATTACAGGACAAAAGGAGTGGCATCACTAGGGAGAAGGGTGTGGGGTGACACTGGGTGATTCTTATATGGAGCGAAAGCAAAATGTCCATAAAATTTTTATGTAGGTTTTTAGAATTTTATTATGTTTATTAAAATATTCCTGTAGTTAGTTATGACAAGAAGATCATTTTCATAAACCCAGTTTACATGTACACAGCAAGGGCAAACATAACATCTTAATTGGGCTTTTATATAGATCACATACTTTGCAAGATACAGTTTGATCTAGACAGAGCTCCCCCAAAGAGAATACGAGAATATCGGAAAATTCATCTTTGAACATAGCCGGTAGTGGTGGTGACGACGGTATGTCATTGAGTCAGAGCTGACTCATAGCGACCCTGTATGGGGTTTGTAAGGCTGTAAATCTTTACAGGAGCAGAAAACCTTAAAAGACTGAAATTCTATGCTAATTTGCTTTTTGAAATTTCTAATGTTTTCTGCTCTGATCAGTGCTGTCATTATTACCCAATTACAATGACACTTTGCATCATGTGATTTCATCTGTACATGTGATTTCATAAGCACACATTGTTGCTTTTGTTGCTGTCAATATTTTTATAGTTGTTGATTTTGTCACATTTTCTGGTGTTTTAACTACAATATTGTGGTTATTAGTATTTGTGAACCAGTATCAATAACTTCTTTGAGAATTAGGTAGCAGTCAAATGATGCATAGTGAAAGGATATAACCCTGGCACACACCTTTCTTGATTTAAAACCATTCAGTGTCCCCTTGTTCTGTTCTAATGACTACCTCTTGGTCTATATACAAGTTTCTCGTGTTTGCAATTAACTGTTCTGAAATACCCATTCTTAACAATGTTATCCATAGTTTGTCGTCATCCATACAGTCAAATGCCTTTGCATAGCTAATAAAGCACAAGTATCTCTGCAGGTTAATGCACTGAACTGCAAAGGTGGTTTGAACTGCAAAGTCGGTGGTTCAAGCTCACTAGTCACTCCTAGGAAACCCTATACAGGGTCACTGTGAGTTGGAACTGACTTGACAGCACTTAACAATAACAGCAACAACAATGGCTAATGATCTTGAACATTGGAATGCTCTTTTTGAGAATGAATGAGCTACCATTCTTTTTCAATTGTCTCGCCTAGCATAGTAAAACCATGTGATTGTCTAATTCAAAATAGCCAATATTAGTCCCTTTCAGTTTACTAGTGCCTAGGATACTGATCTTTATGCATTCCATTTCATTTTTGACAATTTCCAATCTTCCTAGAGTCGTACTTCATACATTCCACATTTAGAGTATTAATAGATGTTTGCAGCTGTTGTCTCCTCATTTTGAGTTGTGCACCATCATCAAAGCTTTGCTCCATTCACATCATTAAGGTCAACTCTACTTTGAGGAGACAGCTTATGAAGGTTAATTTCTTTACATGTGTGTGTTGCTCATTTGTATTCTTCTGAAAATTTCTATCATTTTATCTTTCCACCACTCATCTGTCTGTTGTACTATGGTAACTTGCGTGTTGCTGTGACGCTGGAAGCTATGCCACTGGTATATTAAATACCAGCAGGGTCACCTGTGGTAGACAGGTTTTAGCAGAGCTTCCAGACTAAGACAGACTAGGAAGGAGAGGAGGACTACTTCTAAATGTTTAGCCACTGAAAACCTTATGACTAGCAGAAGAACATTGTCAGGCAGCACCAAAATATTGAATATTGAAAACTTTATGAATAGCACTAGAAAATTGTCAGATATAGTGCCAGAAGATGAGTTCCTCAGGTTGGACTGTAGTCAAAACATGGTTGAGCTGCCTTCTCAAAGTAGAGTTGACCTTAATGATGTAAACGGAGCAAAAGTTTCGAGTCCTTCATTTGCTGATATGGCACAATATTCCGCCACTACTCATAAGGTTTTCTGTGGCTAACCATTCAAAAGTGGTTTGCCTCTCCTTCTTCCTAGTTTGTCTTAGTCTGGAAGCTCTGCTGAATCCTGTCCACCATGGGTGATGCTGCTGGGATTGAAAATACTGGTAGCATGGCTTCCAGAATCACAGCAACACACATGCCACCACAGTACAACAAACTGCTTGGTGACTGATGGACAAAGCACCATAAATGCTCATTTTGATGCCAGTTTGTTTCAAGATGGAGTCCTGGTGTGGAGCTTTAGGATCAGCACTGAACCACAAGGTCAGTTTGAACCGTAAGGTCAGGGGTTTAAACTCACCAGCAGCTCCTTGTAAACCCTACACAGGGTCGCTATGAGTCGGAACTGACTTGTTGGCACTTAATAACAACAGTTTCAAGATATTAAAGTTGTTTGATAATTTGTATTTAACAGCTATAAAATAGTTCTGAACATTTGCAATGTGTACAAGAACTGGTAGCTTGAATCTTTTTTAACATGCTGTACTACATGAATAGGAAAAGCTTAAAACCACCACAACAATCCGAATGATAGGTCCAAGGAGTGGGAATATGAAGAATGTATTATAATCAACTGTGAAATCCTGAAATGTTTGATTGAAGTAAAGTGCATAATAGATTTTAAAACAGTGTGAATCACACTTTGGTCTGTAAAGCATGTTTAGCTTGATTTTTTATTTGGATGCATACTTAAAAATGATACAAAATGTGATTTAAAAACACTCAAAAGTATAATAAAAAAGGGGTAGGGGTGAAATTTAAAGGCTATTTTGGCAGTTCTTCAATAATGATGCGAGACACTGAATTCCAGCCAGTAGAGGCGTCTCCTTTTGGGTAATCTGAACAAGTACCAACCCAAATGGCAATATCCACTAATCCAGCACCAATGCCTTCACACAGTCCTTCCACTGCAAAACAAAGATGAAGGTTACATCTTTCTTAAGAACAAAAAGCAAAAATCCTTACATTTTATCATTTTAGAGAGCTAGATTATAAGCCTGTTGACTGTATGACTAAAAATTCTAATGCTTAATAAGGGTCTAATATAGGTAAGTTTTCTTTCTCTTAACTGGTATGTAAATATTTAAAAGTCTTGTGTATATTCCCCATTCGAAGATACACACTTAACAAGCAATAGGTTTACAGATCTCAATCATAAAAACAAAATTTGTCTCATTACAGAGTACTTAAAAAAATGGTTTTAAAGCAATCAATTTAATTAAACCAAATCAAAGGAAGCCTACATTTTTAAAAGACACAACTGTTGTGATCTGTTGGGGGCATTGATGGTTCAGTAATAGAATTCTCGCCTGTCATGTGGGAGATCAGGGTTTAATTTCTGGCCAGTGTAGCAGCTTGTTAAGCATCTAAAATATGAGAGAGCTTCCAAACATTTGTGGAAAAATGTCACCTTTTCATTCCATTTTTTTCATGAACCTTTTTGAAGCCTCCTCCTATGTTGGACTAGGAATTCTAAACCTGTTTTCCTTCTAGACCCATTTAATAGTTGACATTCAACGGTTCATCAAACGCCAATGGCCACATCCATGGTTTTAAGTCATTCTCTAATGTGCTAATTATAAATTCACCCCTTTTCTTTCCCTCAAGAGTATTAATGAATAAGAGAAGTGACTGTATTATAGAAACAATCTATAATCCATTTTAATACAAAAATGTTATTAATAAATTACATGGGATATTCCATCCAACAGATCACAGCAAATGAATTTCCACACCATGGTTGGGAAATGCGCTGTTAAATTATGTAGTAAGTATATGCATTCATGGAGTCCTGGTGTGGCGCTGTGAGTTAATGCGCCAGACTGCAAAGCCGTTTGAACTACAAGCTTGGTGGTTCAAGCTCACCAGTCGCTCCTTGGAAACCCTATGCAGGGTCGCTATGGGTCAGAACCGACTCGACAGCACTTAACAACAAATATGCATTCATAGGACACAGTTCCTGGCCCTAAGGGCTTACATCATAGTAAGATATTAAACACACTCTAAACCACATATAGGGTCCTGGTATAGTGCTATAAGATAAGCACTTGACTGCCAACCACAAGGTCGGCAGTTCAAACCCACCAGCCACTCCTTGTAAACCCTATACAGAATAGCTACGCGTCCTAACTGACTCAACAGTACTTAATAACAACAAGGATCATATAATAGAAAATAAGTTGCTTATATCAGCTACTATTTAAACACATTTCACCTAATCAAGTTTTATATTTTATATCTAGGCTTTTCTTATTTCAAACATTGTTTCTCAGATGGAAAGTCTATCTTCCTTTTCAGCAAGCATCTAAGGGAGTAGTGAGAAGGCTATTAAATCTGCCTCCCTGTACACTCATTCTTCCCTCCTGGGTCATTGTTGTGTGCCGTCTAATGGATTCCAACCCACAGCAATCTCATATGATGAGCAGAACTGCCGCATATGATTTCCTAGACTGGGACTCATCACAGAAGCAGATCCCTAGGTATTTTCTCCCTTGGAGCAACTAGCAGGTTCCAACCAGACATTTCAGTTCACAGGCAAGCACTGAACTATTTCGCCACCAAGACTCCTCTTTCCTGAATCAAACCCACCCAAATCCTTTGCTGTGGAGTCAATTTCAACTCATAACAGCCTTGTAGGACAGAGGAGCACTGCCCCATAGGGTTTTCCCTCCCCTGTGATCTTTATGGGAGCAGACTGCCACATGTTTCACCTGGAGAGTGGCAGGTGAGTGCTTACCCACTGTGCCACCAGAGCCCTTCCTCTTCTGGGTGCCACCATAGCAATCCTGTATGGGATTTCTGAGGAACAACTGGTGGGTTTGAAACACTGATCTTGTGGTTCAACAAACCTTGAAATGCAGTTCTTATCCTACAATGACCCTTTATTCCCCTGAGACCTCTCTATGTGTAAACTGAGAGAGTTTACGTATCTTCACTATATTCTTGAGGAAAAATATAAAAGGCATCCTTGATTTCTTGGGGATAAGTATACTATATTCATTTTCAAATACAACATCTGACTTGAGTCCCCAAATAATGTTGAACTATAATTTTTTTGGGTTAGTAGTGTGGAAATTGCTTTCCTTCCTTAGGCAATATATATATATATATATATATATATATATATATTAGCACAAGCCTAGTAGGAGAATCTTTCAAGAGAGCAAAAAGAATGAGGTTACTAATAGATATATCAGGTATTTCTGTTATGGGGTACCACATCTACTGCAACCTAAGAAACCAAAACTGCCAGCAGCCAAATGCTGCCAGTGATGTCTATGGATGATGAGAGTAACAGGTCAATTTTCCCCCTTCTACATTTAAGGAGCCCTGGTGGTACAAGGGGGTTAAGCATTGCGCTGCTACTACTGTTACAACCCTCAAGGGTTGATATGTTTTAGAATCAACTAGACTGTAGTGGGTCTGGTTTCTAGTTTTAGTTTCTCATACTAGGTAGGAAAACACACACACACAATGTAGGAATGATATAGGAATTCTCTTTTATAAATGCGGCAGATCGTTATCACCCTTTTAAGGAAAAGGCAGAGAAACCATTCCCTTTGACGCTCTAAGCTAGTGGCTGTCAACCTTGGCGGAACATTAGAATAACCTGCAGATATTATGAAAGTCCCATTGCCTAGGAAAGTCCCAATGCACCAAGGCAAAAGGCATTAGGCTCTGTGGAGAGTTTATTGTTGTTGTTATGTGCCGTGGAGTCGGTTCTGACTCATAGCGACCCTGTATAGGGTTTCCGAGGCTGTAAATCTTTACGGGAGCAGAAAGCCTCATTTTTCTCCTTCAGAACAGCTGGTAGTTTTGAACTGCTGGCTTTGCGATTGTTCACGGACCGATTCGTAACCATTACGCTACCAGAGCTCCTTTGTGGAAGGGTAGTACCAGGCATTAATCATCTTAAAGTTCTCCAGGTGAGCCCAAAGTACAGACAAGATTGACAATGACTGCTTTGGTGCATTGTTGACTATTTTGCCATTTCATCAAACTTCGTGATTTTTCACCACCATGAACACATCAGAATCACTAGAGAATATATTTTATTAACATACAGATGCTCTGGGGCCTTGTACCCAGAGATTCTGGTTCAACTGATCAGAGATGGGATACGAGCATCCATATACGTAAATTATAAATACACAAATAATTCTAAAGTGGAACCATGTTGGAGAATCATGAACTAAAAATTTGCAAAACCCTCCTTTTTGTAGCAGGCTAGTGACCAAACATGATACAGGGACTCATAATTAATCTCAAATCACTGAAGATCTAAAGGCAGTGTCATTTTTCTACATACCGGAAGAAGTGCGATGAATATTAATTGTTGAATTCAGTTCAGGGCTTCCTTGGTCCAGATAAATGATAGCTTCAATGGGAAGAGGTCCTGAGCATTCAGCTCCATTGAATGTGAAATACCAGCGCTGGCAGCAGGCATTTCTGCATTTTAGCCGAAGCGAGCCACTAAACAAAACTCTTAGAGCACTGTTTGAACGCATCTTTGTAAATGTACACTCCTATCACAAACACAGAAATGCAGTTTAGTTAGCATTTTCTGTTTGAATTGATTAAAATATGCTAAGTGTATTGTGAATTTTACTTAAATATCCTCCCCCGCCCCCCACCAATGCCACATTTAACCTTTTCATGACTTACACTGCCCACCCACATTTCCCTCCTCTGGGGTTTATTGAGTAAGGGCTTTCCCATGGATGGTGCACACAGCCATCGGGGGACCTGTACAACTGAAATGGAAGAATTGGTGTGTACCACCGGTTACTGTTTTATTGTATGAGGTGATGCATCCTGGAGGTGATTTTGCCTCTTTTGGCTTTTTCAGTGAGAGCTAAGCCTTGTAAGTATATTTCCCAGCGCCTGTGCATTTTTGGAAGTTATCTTCCTTGTGATGATTTCATGTTTGCATGAATATCTCTTTTTTAGGTATGCTAAATTGTATGCACCTGTCAAGGGATCCAGAAGCAGTGTAGAGTCCAGAGGGACATATGCGCCCCACAAATCCTACCACCCATAGTCCAGAGGGGCAAATGGGTCACACATAATATTATAACCCTCCCCCACACCCAGAATGCAGAGTAACAGGTATAAAAAATCCATTTGATAGCAAACTTCCAGAAATTTCCTTGATCCAACATGCTTTCTCTTAATGAAAATACATGGTTATCAATAAAGAATTCAAAGTAGAAAATAACTTGGTCATGAAAGTGTTAAGAGGCTTAACTTTTACAGAGAGAGGCTGTATGTGAGATAGGTCATAGACTGATAAGGGAACTGGAAGGGAATCAGATTATGGCTGTCTTAGAATTATTTGCTCCGTTGAAGTCATCTTTCAGTTTTACCAAAGCAATTCATCTTCAGTCTCTTAGACTAAACAATCTCTCTATATTTTTTCCATTCAAAAATATTTACTGAGTCCCAATTATGTGCTGGATGCTACAGATGCAGTAATGAATAAAACACAGACTCTCTGCCCTCATGGAACTTACATTCTAGACCAGTGGTACCCCTAGATATTTACTCTTGACTTGTTTCTTTTTGAGGAGCCCTTGGGTGGTCAAATGATGAATGCATTTGGCTGCTAACAGAAAGTTTCAAGTATAACCAGAGATACCTTGAAAGCAAGGTATGATCACCTAATTTCTTAAATAAGCAGTCATTGAAAATCCTATGAGGCACAGTTCTACTCAGACACACACGGAGTTGCCATGAGTTGGAGTTGAACCAACAGCAATTGGTTGATGTTTCTTAGTGAACAACAGTGGTAGGTGAAGCACAGGAAAGGGTCTGGGTCTCTTAATCTATCTGAGTTTCAGTCTTTACCTATATGACACAATCATAGTGCCCAGGTGTGTTTTTCTCTAACTGGTCTTTGCAAAATCTCTCTTCCTACTGGCTCATGACTCTACTATCTTTTACTTGCTGAAGGTGTCCATACCCATCTGACCAGTGCTACAAGAAGCTTGAAGACAGATTAATAATTCAGAGTCCACAAGGATAGTCTTTAGAAAGAATGCAGCAACTTATGATGGGCTATAAATAAACAACCAGTGTATCAATGTCAGATTTTCATAAGATGCTTTCTTAGAAATGACACATAAACATAAAAAAGGTCACAGTCCACAACACTATAGAAATTCTATCACACAAAAGTAGAAAAGTCTCAGGCTTTTTAATAAAGAGGCTAGAACAGAGATCTAAATGCTCCTAGCAGCTGAGAAGTGGGGTAGATATAAAACAAGAACATTAGAGGTTTTTGATTTTTTTTTTCAAGACTTGTAAAATTTAGACAATAAGCTTATGTGCTTTAACATTTAAAATATATATATATATTGTGACCTGAGTGATAGTTTGCATGGGAGAACAACAGCTTTACACCATCATTTCATTGCAATGCTTACAATCCCTTGCATGCATCATCATTCAACAGTATTTGCTTCTATTCCCTCTGTTTTTCTTTTTTTTTGAGGGGTGGGGTGGGGAGATGTACACAAAAACACTCAGGAATACATAATAAACAACCAAAGAACACATTCTGCAAGCCTTTCTCCTAGCCGCCAGCACTCAGTCCCTCTCTTTCCATGAGTCTAGAGTCCTCAGGTGATCTCACTCTCCATGTCTTCATCTCGGCCTCCATCTCTGGTGTCGCTGCTTCTCTGGATAGGGTCCCACATTCCACTTGTGCTCTTCTCCCTTGATGGTCCTAGGGTCCTCTGTTTCTGGATTGTAACATTGACTACGTTCCCATTTTTGTTACAAAACTTCTATATTTACAGTTCTGACAATAGCAATTATCATGATAACAATTACTCACTATTCAATCGTAAGAATTTTATCCCCATCTCTTTTCAACAGACCCGTCTAGACAAGATGAAAACTGTTCAGTGGGGACTCTATCTTCCCCTGCACTCTATCTTAAACTAAACTACCTCTTGAAACCTTGTAAGCCAGTCACTTCATGCCTTTATCGTCCCCTCATTTTAAGTAGCCAATGTCTAAGTTGCCCATCCCTATCTACCCTGTATACAGAGGGGATAGCACTGATAATTGATGTGAAGACTCCTTCCCTCTGTTGGTATTTTGAGCTACGACATCCAAGAGTATAGGTCAAGTTCATCAAACTGCAGCAATTTACCCTTGTTTCCTTTATTTAAAAAAAAAAAAAATTATCTTCCTCTAGTTGAGTTCTGATTATGAAGCAATTGAGGCTAGGTCAAATGGGTACTATCTGCAAGTTTTGATGTTCTTGTGTGTCTTCCCTCACTCCATATCAGCTGGATGCTTCATTCTCACCTGTAGCCCTCCATTGCCATGTCTTTGTCCAAAGGCTCAGGTGTCCCCAGGTCTCACCACACTTTGGACCACCCAACCCTTCCTCTTCTCTCACTCATCTCCAGGTAAGCGGGAGTCTATGGAATTTGGTTGAACTCAGCCCATTTCTTCATTGCTGCCCTACCCCTCTTCCACTCACCACTAGATCAATGTGGTCTCCAGTAAGCTTACATGCCTGCTCATGTGTAACCTTTGACTTTTAGTATTAGAGGGGGATTTGTCCTGAAGAGACTTGATTGCTTGCCTTGATGGCTTCCTGGCAAATAATTTGCTTATTCTTCTAGTAGCCAATCATACTGACATTTTTGTTTTGGGGTTTTCCTACAGATCTTTCTTCGAAGATGTATCTTCTGTTGGTCTAGCTCTTCCAGGCTGGTCTGCTTGTCAGTGGGAATGTCCCACCTCAGAAGGTTCTGGATGGGGATCAGGATTTCACCTAAGGTCCTATACACTGCAAAGGCTCTGCAAGAAGCCTATTTCACTGGGCAAGAAAGAACCTTAGAGTTTTATAAACATAAAGTCTCTTCTATCTTGCCTGGGGATCATGGCACCTGAAACTGTGGAGAAATGTGTTGTAAATATGGAAGCATGAACAGAATTAAGTTCATAAAAGGAGAAAAAGGCTTGTAAATACCAACAACCTCAACTCTCTCCCATTCCAGTGGACTTGGTAGTTACACTTGAAGCAAACACTAATCAGTGTGATTGAATCATTAATCAAATGTACTGCCAGGCAGGCTACTATGAGTAATTTCCCCCTAAATGTTGCAGATTAACTTTAAATGGTCAAAGTAATGCATCCCATCTGGTCCATTTTACTTCTCTCAAAGCTAGCATTTTAAAATTAAGCCTGCTACCTGGTAAGAGCAACTATCAGTGGACTGCCCATGTTCTAAACCCTATCATGTAGAAATTTCCCCCCACCTTTATGTCTGGAGCCCCAAATGCAGTTTATTAGACTAATTTAAATTTATATTCACTTTAGGACAAGATTGGAAAGTTATTTACAGTTCAATACAGACACCTTCACTCTCCCTTTTGTTTGTATTTTTTAAAAAGAGTCTGTAATTATGAGGAGTCCTGGTGTCATAGTGGATTATGAGCCTGACTGATGACTACAAGGTCAGGAGTTCGAACCTACCAGTCACTCCATGGAAGGGAGATGAGGCTTTCTGCTCCCATAAAGATTTACAGCCTCAGAAACCCTATACAGTTGGAAGCAACTTGATGGCACACCACCACCACCAAGTAGTTATAAACCTTATGGTAAGAATGATTCATATGTCATATGAAACTCTGAAGTGTTATCAATTTTTAAAATTAATTCTAAGTTAATAGTCACATTGTACCTAGCTTTTATTTGATTTTTTAAAGTCTTCTGGTAAAAAATAACAACAACAATAACATTCTACCTAAAAGTTAGCTGTCAAATATGAAAACTCAAGGTTTATTTCAACTAAAACCAAAAAACCGACTTTACTTACTGCGATTTTCCCAAGGTCTATGCCATAATTTAGGGCACTCCACGAACACTGCTTGTAGTTAGGCGTCCAGGACTCCTCAAAGCTTTCCCTCAGGCATTCCCCCTTTTCTCCTTTGAATCCATCTCGACCTGGGATCCCAGGGGTTCCAGGAATGCCATTGGCCCCAGGATTCCCATCTCGCCCAGGCACCCCTGCAGGTCCTTGTAAGCACATTCCATTATACTACCAGGAGGAAGAGAGGGGGACACATCACTTATGTAGGACCCAAACACTCAATCTGATCAGAATTGCATTTATTCTGAGTCCTTGGAGCCAAACATCTGTTCATCACTCTTGTTCATGTTATTCTATATAAATCATGATGTGTAGATAATCCATTTTTTCTTTAGAAAATTCAGTTAAAAGTGATTACTAAAATATTGATATTCCTTCCCTACATTTTTTTTGTTGCACAAACTTTACACACACACACCAAAAATGAACACTGCCATTGAGTTAATTCTGACCCTATAGGACAAAGTAAGAACAGCCCCGAAGTGTTTCCAAGGCTGTCATCTTGACCACGGAGCAGCTAGTGTCAAAAAACCACCAGTCTTTCCATTAGCAGCTGAGTAGTTTAACCATTGTACCAGCCGGGCTCATACACACACACACACACACACACACACACACACACGTAAGCACATACAATCAAAGAAGAGGACAAATGTTTTCATTTACCTTGCTCCTTTCTATTACAAGCATACATGATTTTTCACTTGCTATATTCCAAGGTGGATATAATTTGATATTCTGCTTTTTATATCTGTGGTACAGTGAATTTACTTAGAATATCTCTTGTGGTCATGGTCTTTGTAACTCCCAGCAAAATGACTGGGTGGGACAATGTAAACAGGGTGTAGGGACTCTGTTGTGGGGATTGGTTAGTTTTGTCATTCTCCTAGGTTTGAAAGAAGTCATCTCAGCAATCGGAACAGAAGAGTCTAGGATCATCAAGAGGAAGAGCCAAGAGTGGAGAGCAAGATTCTTGTGTGGAACAATGACAGAAACAGAGGCAGCCACACAGAGAAGCAGAGCAGCAGGTTCCTGGTCCACAGTCGGAGTAAAGCTGAATGCTTTCGAGCAGGACTCTGACTTGCAGAATGGGGTGTCCTTTGGGCAGTTACCCACAGGATAAAAGGATAATACTTTCTAGAGTAGGGCAGACGCCAAGGGGTCATGTGGCTGAGAGGTCAAGATTGGCTGAGAAGAGGAGCTCCTGACCACAGAACTGGTGTAACCTGAGTTGTTTCTGATCCTGAAGCGTACCCTGTTAGTTTCCCTAATAAATCTCATAAATGTGAATATTGTCTGTGAGTTCTGTGTGGCCACTGCAACAGGTGATCAAACCCAGCAGAGAAGTCGAGTGCTGTGGGAGGAATGGTTGGTGTCAGAACAGGGTAAAGAAGTTTGGAGATGGAGACATGTCTGACCTCTGCCTCATAGGAATTGGTCTTGGGCAGATGATTCTCCTCCTTCCCCCTTGTGAAGCCAGAAGAGGTTAGACATCATCTCCACACTATTTTTGCAGCTTCTTTCTTATCTAATCCTCTATCTTATAAAATGATTGGATTTCTTAAGTGTGCTTTTACAGTTTCATGAATTGTTTTTCTAAGATAAATTCCTAGGAACATAATGATAAAATCTTAATAGTATCTACTGATCTTACACTGGCAATATCTGTACGTTGGATATACATTGTGAATGATAGGTCCTGTTGAGTTGATTCCATAGCGATCTTATGTAACACAGTAAAACTGCTTTCACAGGGTTTACTAGGCTGAAATCTTAATGGGAAGAAGCCCTGATAACATGGTGGACTATGAGCTGGGTTGCTACCCATAATTCAGTAGTTTGAATCTACCAGTTGCTCCATGGGAAAAAAGATAAGACTTACTGATCTTGCAAAGATTTACAGCTTTGGAAACCCTACACAGGGTCAAAACTGACTTGGTGGCGCACAGCCACCACCTACAACAGCCTTAATGGGAAAAGATCACCAGATCTTTCTCCCTCAGAATCACTGGGTAGGTTCAGATACACATGTCTCCTGCTTATCCTGCCTATTTTTATATGGAGGACATGTCATTAGTTAGCATTCCTGACCTCCAGCCCCACCTCTCCTTCCCCAGGAATACTAAGGGACCTAGGTGTGGGTGACCACTGGTCCTCAACAGGGTTGCAATTATTTATCAGAAGTCTCTGTGCCAAAAAGTCTTAGGTGCTAGGAAAATGTGGTATCAGGATTGGAGGAAGGCTCATTAACAACTTGCAATATGCAGATGACACAACCTTGTTTGTTGAAAGTGAAGGAAGTACTTGTTAATGAAGCTCAAAGAATACACCCTTCAGTGTGGATTACAACTCAATGTAAAGAAAACAAAGTCCTCACAACTGGAACAATAAATTACATCAGAATTGAAGTTGTCAAGACTTATTTTACTTGGATCTACAATTACTGCTCATGGAAAGAGCAGTGAAGACATCAAATGACATATTGCACTGGGAAAATCTGCTACAAAAGACCTCTTTAAAGTGTTCAAGAGCAAAGATGCTAGTTTGAGGACTAAGGTGCACCTGACCCAAGCCATGGTATTTTTAATCACCTCGTATGCATGTGAACGCTGGACAATGAATAAAGAAGACTGGAGAAGAACTGATGCATTTGAATTATGATGTTGATGAAGAATACTGAAAGTACCATGGACTGCCAAAAGAACAAACACATTTTTCTTGGACGTACAGCTCAGTATGGTCCTTAGAAGACAAGATGGTGAGACTTTGCCTCATGTACTTTGGACATTGTTGTCAGGAGGGATCAGTCCCTGGAAATGGACATCATGCTTGGTAGTTGTTGTTGTTGTTATGTGCTGTGGAGTCGGTTCCGACTCATGGCGACCCTGTACAGGGTTTCCGAGGCTGTAAGTCTTTATGGGAGCAGAAAGCCTTATCTTTCTTCCGTGGAACAGCTGGTAGTTTCAAACTGCTGACCCTGAGGTTTGCAGCCTGATACATAACCACTATGCTACCAGAGCTCCTTATGCTTGGTAGAGGACCCAAGAAAAAGAATGAAATGAAATGAAATGGACAGACAGTGATTTCAATAATGGACTCAAACACCACAATTGTTAAGAATGGGCAATGTTTTGTTCTGTTGTGCATACTGTCACTAAGAGTCTGAAACAAGCTTGACAGCACCAAGTTAACATGTCAACACATGCTAACAACAACATGTGCTAATGAGGTAGGATTAGGTTATGTTAATGAGAATTAGGTAATGTTTATATGCTAATGAGGCAGGATTTTAGTGGGATGCAATACTCCTGATCTGAAGTAATGGGTGCTTCCCTAGGGCGTGGCCTGCATCTCCTTACATTTTGCTAGAGAGAGAAAGAGAGAGAAGCCAGCAGAGAGAAAGGAACCTATGACCACCAAGGAAGAAGAGCCAGGATTGGAGTGTACGTTTTAGACCCAGGATCCCTGCACTGAGAACCTCCTAGAGTTAGGAGAAGACTGATGTCAAGATACATGGAAATTTCCAAGGGACACCAAGCCCACAGCTGTTGAAAATAAACAAAGATCTTTCCCCCAGAGCCGAGAGAAAAAGGCTTCATCTATAGCTGATGCTTTAAATTTTGACTAACATCTTCCTAAACTTGGAAATCCTATACAGGGTGGCTATGAGTTGGAACTGACTTGACGACACTTAACAACAACAAACTACATCAGCAAGTGTGGTGTGGTACTGGGGGTTAATCGCTGGATGGCAAGGTCCATTTGAACCACAAGGTCTGCAGTTCAAGCTCACCAGCTGCTCCTTGAAATCCTACACAGGGTTGCTATGAGTTGGAACCAACTTGATGACTCTTTACAACATCAAACTTGGTTTTTGAAAAAATAAATTTGCTTGTTAAATTCATCCATGTGTGGTAATTGTTATAATAGCACTAGATAACAAAGACAGCAAGTTACTCAACCTTTTAGTGCCTCAGTTTCCTTAGCTATAAAATGGTGATAACAATAAAGATTCTGACCTCTTAGGCTTATTATGCACTTTAAGTGTGATAATAAATAAAATGTGCTTAGAATAGTGCCTTGTTGCTGTTATATGCCTTTGAGTCAGTTCCCACTCACAGCGACCCTGTATAGGGTTTCCAGGGAGCAACTGGTGAGTTTGAACCACCAACCTTGAGGTTACCAGTCCAGTGCTTATCCTACAGCACCATACCAGGACTCCTGGCTAATACCTGTTGTTGTTGTTAAATGCTGTCAGGTCAGTTTAGACTCATAGTGACTCTGTATAGAGTTTCTGAGGAGCGGCTGATGAGTTTGAACCACCAACCTTATGGTTCAAACTGACCTTGCAGTCCTGTGCGTTATCCTCCAGCGTCACACCAGAACAGTGCCTGCATATGTCAGCCATTATTTTCTTTACTCCTTCAGGACCAGTGGGAAGCAGCAATCCTGGGTAAGGGTGTTGATTCCTTTGGGTAGACTCTATCAAAGTGTAGGCAGGGTATCACAACAGTTAAACTTTAGGAAGCTAACAGGAAGGTTGGTGATTCAAACCAGCAACTCTGTGGGAGAGAAGACTTGTGAATCTGCTCTTGTAAAGACTGCAGCCTAAAAGCCCTCTGACGTAGTTGTACTCTGTCTTATATTGTCCCTGTAAGTTAGCTTTGACTTGATGGCACACAAGAAGACCCCAGGAAGATAGCATTAACTCTTGCATGAATAAGCCCCTATTCGTCAACATAATTTATTGTTGTTAAGTGTTGTCAAGCCAGTTCCAACTCATAGCCACCCTGTATAGGGTTTCCAAGAAGTGACTGGTGGGTTTAAACCACCAACCTTGTGGTTAGCAGTCTAGTGCTTATCCTGCACTGCTACAGTCAGTGATATTTTGATCTTCATTTGTTCAATTCCCAAGTGTTACCTTAAATAAATTCAGTTGGGAAAAGAGGAGTCATCTATTAGACCCTGCAAACCCCAATACAATCCACTTAGTGTTATTTTAACCTTTCCTATTTGTGTAAATGTTTAATACAGTCATTCTGTATAAATACTCCAATCAGAGCAAAAAGCACAGTTCTTTATATATTAAAATAACCTTAAAGCTTATCTTTTAACTTCAGTGTCTGGAACTGGAGGATCCTTGATGATGTAGTGGGCTACTTACAGAA